CGAAAGACAAACAACCTTGATGGCTTTGATTTTTAAACAAGCAAACAAACTTTGGCTGAATGGCACAGCAGAATAAAGGCAACACGATGCCCCATTATAATCAGCTTGAATCATTTGAAGTAAACAGCAAGGAAATAAAATGTACCCTGTTTGCTGGCAGGCTTGATGGCTTACAAAGTGCTCACCCCACCCAAATCAAGAGCTTGAAATGGAGCAGCAATAGAACAGAAACCCCTGAAAGCATAAGATTCGCTTTTCCCTGGTACCGTGTTGCCATCCTCAGGGATAGAAAAAGCATCATTAGAGTTTAAGTAAGAGTTTGATGAAAACACGGAGCACCCCAAGGATCAATTTTCACCACGGGCAGCTGCAGCACGAGGCATTAATTCTTCACCCTCTCTGGTGACAGGAGAAACGCGGGGAGCTGTAGGCACAAATAATGTTACACTCGTAGTGTGTATTTTGCTTTTCATGCCTGCAATTAAACGCTTGCTTTACTTCCTGTTGTTTAAAACTGTGTTTATTCTTTAGCACTGCAAGAAAAACCTCCTGTATTTTCCTCTAATTTGTGCTGGGGACACGTTTGAAGGCCCATATTGTAGACTCAGCAAGTGGCAGGGCAGCCGCCAAACCTTGCTTCCTTTGTTGATTTCTTGATGATTTAAGACCTATTTTCAGCAGCTGATCCCAGTCCCCCCCCTGCCTTTTTGCTTGGTAACTACCATTTTAACAAAATGGTGTTTGTGCAGTGCCTTGGAACCATGAACTGAGCTTTTAAATTTAAGACAGGGAACAGAATAGAAAAAGCAGCACTAAAATCACCGACACACCATGGCTTTTCAAGAGGCGTGCTTAGAAATACATGGCAGAACCCTTGAGCTCATGCAGAATAATATTTAAACTGCTACTCTTTTATTTCATACTAGCTAAAATTACTTGCACGCTTCTGATATTTGTGTTATTTACCTTCACCCAGCACAAACTTTGAAATTATTCTCTGAATCCCCAGAAATCAGGAAATAAAGATATGAAAAACCCCTATACCTGACAGGGGGTACACGATGTACATGACATTGTTCAGCCTTTTACTGGCTTTGCCTATAGGGACAAGCCCTATTGTTTTTTTAAAGTACAAACAGGAAAAGATAGAGCTTCATCAATGGCTTATTCAGGTGCAGGTTTCCTTCAGAAAAGCAGAACGCACTTTCCCCTGCTGATGCTTAGAAGCAAATGAAATGAAATTCGGTGTAAAAAATATATCCAATTCTATCAGAATAATTATCCTCTCTCTTCTGGGTAACAACAGAGTCCTTCCTCCTAATTATTCTGTTCCGGGCAACACAATATTTGGCTTAATAAATAAAACCAATATCTACTGAGTACTTTTTACAGCAAATAATTCTATATTTAATGCAGGCCCATAAGATGCTGGCACACACCTTGTTCACTTGTTAAAACATAAACCTCAAACTTGCTAAAAATAGAAGTAAGGATGAAACAAAATTGTCCTAGTACATTACAGACACCTGAAAATAAAAACAGAAAAGGGGATGACTTAAGGGATTTTCAGTAACATTTAAGAAGTAAGCGTAACCTTTAGGTTTAATAAGCGTTACAATACATCAATTACAGAGACATAAGTAATTTAAGGGAAGAGCGTTCACTGGCTGTCAGTTTGGTCACAGACTTCATTTGATTCACAGGGCAGAGACGGTACCCTGTAATTAGCAGTCATGGTCAGAAGCCGTGTCCAAAGCTCCCTGCAGCACACCTTTCTCACAAAGCTGGAAAGGTGAGAAACTCCCCTTCTCCACTGACAGAGGACTCACCCCTTCATCTCCATGTATTGCTGCTGCGTAGGCATGGTATTAGAATGGATTTAGACCTGCAGGGGTGACCCTCACGTACTGCTAGGGGTTTCTACTGCCTGCTGCTTCTCCGGTTGTTATGGGTACGACCATAGAAGGATGACTGAGCACCAGTCCCTACTCACTACTTGTTAAATAGGGTTTTGACCTCTTCTAAACGCCCTGACTTCTATTAGGGAGCAGTGCTCAGTGGAGACTATTCAGATTTATTCCCCCCTTTCAGAGGTAACAAGTCTCTGTGTAAACCCACCTGAAGTAAGACTGAGGGTACTATTGCTAAATCTTGTCTCCTGACTGAATCACCAAAGATGCTTGTTGCCACAAGTGCCAGACAGAATAAGAGTAAGGAAGCACACAGAGAAACATGCCTAGTGAGGGTCTAGCAATGCGTAGGAGATCTGTGCTAATTCTAGCAATGATTTCTCCTCATAAACTGACTCAAGCCTACTCTACATATGAATGGCAGGATGTTCAATGACAATACCAAAACCACTGCTGATTCAGCAAATGAAACACGCTAATCAACAAAGCAATGACCAGCACACAGGAAGATGAATGAAGGCCAAACTACATATGATATAGTTAACTTTTATTTATTCTTCCAGCTGTTTGACCAGTCTTTCCAGCAAGTTCACAAAAGTCTAACTTTGAATCCAAAAGATTTGGTATTACTTCTAGCACAGTGGATTAAGTATGCAGATGAATAAAGGCATGACTAAGTTTGCAGTGTAAAGGACCTTTGGCAATCATGCATTAAAGGGGCTTAGAAACTAGAGACTTACTACATTATTTCAATCAAAATTATGACACAGTAGAATTTCAGCTTTTTGATGTTTGTAATGTTGCTATTTTTCTCTTATATTTTGTGAAGAAACTAGTCTAGGTCTGACTGCTCCTTTCAATTACAAATATCACATAACAGGAAAGGAAAGTGCTGAAAGCCTCATTGCCATTAAAGCAGCCACAATGGATATTGTAAAAAAGGAGATAATAGAAATAACTCAAATTTACTAGATTAGAGCTTTTGTGGGTAATTTAAATGCCTTCAAGAAAGGCTTGATTTGATATGAAATTAAACTAACTCTTTTTTCCGATGTAATATTTATATGGTATTCCTCCTTCCGGAGAGATGATTTCTCTCATTTCTATGTTCTTCCTTCTAGCACCCATTTGTAGTGCTAACACCCCCCTACATTCATCTGAGAACCATCAGGAAGGGCTCCATAAAATACTTTGCAGGTCAGAGTGTACGGTGGCTTTGAAATAAAGAAAGTGTTCATTGAGTGTAAGGACAATATCTTTTTTGCTAATCTAAAAATTGATAAGCTTGCAGATTTCATCTTAAACACAAACAGTTCCATTTCTACCCTCTTCCCCTCCAAAATACTACCTGTTGCAACATGACAAAAAAATTTAGACTGAAACCATTGTTTCATTTCCATATGTATCAGTAAAAAGTTGGTGAAACTACTGAATTCAACATAAGGAACTGCTGGTTTAAGCATTTTATATCCTCCAAGCATTTTCTTCCATGGCTTCTAAAACTTAGTCCTTTAATAGTAAAGCAGTCTTTTGTCCAAATGTACTAGGACTAAGGTGGAGGATGAATTTTTGATTGAAAACTCATATTAACTGTGAAGAGTGGGCCTCTTTTTGAAATACTTTGTCATTTGTAACATTTGCTAGTCTTTGAAACACGGCAGAACATTGAAGAACACTGTGCTCATGGAGCAACTACTACAACATTGAACGAAACACGAGGATATAAAACATATGATTCTAAGAATCTACAGATGCAACTTGAAGGTTTGTTTTTTACCTTTTGAAGATGGTTAGAGATGGTTTCTATCAGGTTTTGAACACTACAAAAACGAATGTTTTACATTAGCCATCTTCCTTCTCTCACCCTGTTCACAAGAGTTAGCTTATCCTTGAATATGTGTGTGGCTTTGATTTTTACCTGAAGAAATGCAGAAGAGGGATCATCCTGGTATACGGAACAAAATGTGCCCTTCAGTCATTTAAGGTTGTGCAGTTACGGTGTTGCTATTCACATAAAACCATAACCCTCGACATCTGCTTTAAGTCTGGTGAGGCACTGGGGTTGCCCAGGGAAGTTGTGAATGCTCCATCCCTGGCAGTGCTCAAGGCCAGGTTGAACAGAGCCTTGGGTGACATGGTTTAGTGTGAGGTGTCACTGCCCATGGCAGGGGGGGTTGGAATTAGATGATCTTCAGGTCCTTTCCAACCCTAACTATTCTATGATACTATGATTCTAGGTCTTGGTTTGGATGCAAAAGCCTAATGCAATGCCTCCAATAGAGGAAATTCAGGCTTAGACCTTTGGAGCTGTTTACAACCCTCAGGACAGAACTTGCCTCCTCTTCTTGTAATAAGGCTTCTGATTTTGTTTGCAGCTTGATTTCTAGCCAAGAAATTCAGTAATAAACAGAAACTAAACTTTTGCCTATAAACTAGCTAAAAATACCTGTAGCTTCTAGAGGCAACTTATTTGCATGATTCTTAATTATTAAGCTTCGTTGCTCAAACCCCATCTGCATTTCCTAGGTGGATGTTAGCCTGGAAAGGACTAATTTTAATGGAAAACAATGAGTTTTAGAAAGGGTAGGAGACTACTGCCAATCAAGTAATTTGATGAGATTTCATCACATAAGCAGATAGTAGTGCTACAGTGGATAATTTCAAATTAAATGTTTTCCAGTGCCACTGTATCATCTGCATACTATTCATTTAGTTCCTTATATTTTAGCAGAAGTAACAGTGTTTTCTCCATGCACTGTTAATTTTATTCCATACTGGAAAGTACCCTGGTCTATTTACAAATTAATTTGGGAAGTGACATCGTGACAGTTTTAGCCCCAACTGGTGCGCCTGACACAAGCATGAAAGAAAGGATGAAGGGGTGGGATTTTGCATTTGGCATTTCAGAACTAGGAGAGGTAATGTTTCCAGTTACATACACTTAAAATTATTTCTGAGAAGACATGTTGAACTTAAGCATTAAGCTAAATACCTGCAGCTCTACAGTATTTCATCTGTTATTTTCCAAGACATCATTCATTCCTTTGTTGAAAGTTTGCTTCTCGGCAGTATTTATCTTACTTGGAAAAATTACAGGTCTATGAAAGAGCTTTATTTTGTTACAGTGATTTATATAACTAGTTCTTTGCACACTGGTACTAAAGAAGTACAAGTTTTCATAATGGCAAGGGGAGTTCATTAAAAAAACCCGCTGAAATTGTACAACTGGAAATAAAAACAAAGCATAAAAGCACAACATTTCATATAACATGAGCTTTCAACTGAAATATTAAAAAAAAAAAAACCCACAAAGCCCTCCAATACCTCGCCATATTAAAATCAGACCAACTTGAAAGGCACTGAGAATTGAAGCCTGCAACTCATATCCATACCTGTGAGAGTAACAACCACAGCGGGACACAAACCTCCCAGGCAGAACATGGCACTGTACAGTCCATTAGGCATTCCTGGTACGTACGGCAGTTTTGTACTTTCTTAGGATAAACTGGAAATGGCAACTAAATATACAAACTACACTGTAATTCTGTGGGGGGAAAAATATCCAATTCACACCATCTGAAGACAACAAAACAAGGCATAACATACAGGACATTGTTGGCACAAGAATATGTTACCACATCAAAACACGCCCTTTTCAATTTAATCCAGTAGATATATAAAGGAATGGTGGTGGCAGAGGCAAAGGGCCAGGCCAAACATCAAATATGCAGTTTTAAGCATGTTAGTGAGGTCTTTTGTTTCAGAAACCTGACAAAACCTGAAGCTACCAAAACAATTTCAGAGGCAAGAAAGCACCCATCAAGACAGTCCAACCCGTTTCCAGGCGCTCTTCTTGTGGGCTGCACACGCAGACTGAAGGATCTGTCCAGTATCATCTCTGTGCCCAAGGCTGCCTAAAGCTTCCCGTTAGCAAATGCTGCCTCCTGGAACTGAGGGACAAACGTTTTGAAATACGCCCTAGTAAAAAAAAAAAACAACAGAAAATGCATGGTTAGGAAAGGGTAAGCATAGAACTTAATATGTGTGTGTATGTAGATGGGGTTTTAACAGAGAAGCATAACGTAACCATGCTCAGCCCAGTAGTAGATCTCATAAACGAGTTGTGTCTTTCTTACAAGTATTTACTATGCAGCAGATCCATACACTTTAGCTTTCTAGACCCAGCAGTACTTCTTTCATCAGTGTCCTCCCCGCCAACCAAGTGGTCAACATCAGCAACTTGACATTGTCAGAACCTGATGGACTGCCCATATTCTACCCAATGCAAAGCTCCAAAGACAAACAGTATTATCCACTGGAAAATAAACCTCTGAATGGCTGCAAAAATGAGAAGCACAAGCGTGGCTATGCCACTGCCTGCAACATTTTGTAACTGGGACTTTCTCATGCAATTGATGTTCTGGGATAAAAAGTTGGGTTTTTTTTTTTTCCCCTTCCATGTTGACGAAAGCTTCACATAGGGTACCAAAGGCCCAAAGACAGACAATTCTAGGGAGCAGGGAAGTCATGAAGTCAGAATACGTGCAGGAGATAAGCTGTTTATCTGTCTCCTTACAGAAACCTTGACGCAATGCAGAGTCACTGTCAATGGCAGTAGTTTACATAAGACTTACTGAATAAATACTAACACTTTGGGTGAACTGTAATTCCTTTTCTTAGACTGAAAGTTAGAACATTATTCTCTAAATTAGGATGTGCTTTGTATATTTTGTATCTTAGTCTATCTTCTTTACTAAGAATCAAGTGACTCATAAATCCGTAAAATGAGCTGATCCTAAGCATCCAAAATAGAGTGTGAACTGTACCTTCGAGTTTATTGCTCTGAAATACTCAACCATGTGCTAAACATATTTTATGTGTCCCAATGATACTCTTTATTTGCAAGTTATATTAAAAGCTGCTTCATCATTCTGCCTTTGGTCTCTGCCTACTACTTTCTGCACCAAATTTTCACTTTCTCTCCTCCTTAAAAACAACCCAACATTTTGTTTTGCATTTATATATATGGAGAACTGCCTTCTGTCCTCCCTAACAAAAGAACCTCTCTCCCCACCAAATCCAACAATCTAGAGTGGGAATAGCTGCAATTATGTCCATTCCTGATCGCTCTGCTGGTATACCTCCTGAAGCAAACATAGGCTGCTCATCTTCGCAACCATGATACGCCTTTCATAATTTGGGTAGAAGCTTGGCAATCACTGAACACCAACCACACGTCACAACTGAAAATGCTGCAGGATCACAAAAGAGAGCACTCCCCTCTCTTTGTGAAGTTGTGCCTGGCAAATTAATTAACAGAGAGCTGCATTCAGCTTTTGTACAGAGGCTGTAAACACACACAAGATGCCATCCAAAGGTTAAAAGAGCAATGGAAAGTAAAAGCATTTCTGCACTGAGGAGCTGAGTGCAGAAAAGGAAAAGGGCAACCAGCAAACGCATTTTATAGCATACATAGATTTGTGCTGTGTGTTTACACATTACACTTTGATTTATTGAACCAAAGTTCATGAAGCAGCCCTCATAATCATGCCCACAAAAGTGATTGTTCATCCTGGCACAAACGCATGCATAAACCAGCTAAGAAGGTATGCCATGCCTGGCATCTGGTCTTTACACTTGAATGATGTTTCTCTACCTGTGTTTTTAGAGCACACCTTTGGAATTGCAGCCCCTGGTCGGCCCTATGTCATTTTGCTAGCTCAAGGAATGTCACTTGCACACTGTCAATGCCAGGATGTATCATCCTTTTATTTCTGCTTGCATTATCTGTCTTAACTTTTAACTACATTTCCTCTGCTTGCTTATTTTAAGTAGCTTCTTCCTTCCCCTTTGGTAGTGTCTCTGCAGACTCTTCCATACACATGCTCTTCTTACTGACTTGATAAATGTTACTTAAGACTTCCCTCTTCCTAAACTGTAAAAATTCTCAATCATTAAATGGGATGTAAGCAGAAGTATTTTTCTACATTTATTTCTTTTCTGAAACATGTCCTTTGCAGCATTTCTGTGCTTTGTATTAAAACCAAACTTACTGAATTATATTGCATTGACTTAGGCAAATTCCAGAACGAATGCTTCTGATATCACATACACCCTCCCACACTATCTTTATCTACATTTGCATCCTTTCTTTTCACTGATTCCTACAGTAGAGCTTGTATCCTTTGCTGCAAAACTAAATCCAACACCTCCCTATGTTCTATCAGATGTACTATTTTGAAGAGGACGTTATTTCCCTGGTAGTTCAGATGAACCTCTTGGCCATGCTCCATGCACTACAAAAATTCCATTAGGACTTTATAATTTGTAAATGTCTACTCTTTTCTTTCCTACTTTAAAGTACAGGCTTAAGTTTGCCCTTATCATTTGCGGTCTTGTCCAGACTGAAGCAGATGTAATACCACATGTTTACCCAGGATATATAACTCCATTTCTGCCCCTCTCCCACACATTCGAGGTATCTGAGATTAAAGACATTTTGGAAAACACATTTGGGTAATCATGGTTCATCACACACACACACTCACACAAAAAATGAATTAACTCCCTACACCCCAAACCATAAAGAAACCTGCCAAAAGATCCAAAAGCACAATACACTTGATAGGACTGTATCAGCTACAGCACATTCAACAGACTGAAGAGGAAAGATGGGGAAGTAAGAGAAGGGAGGTTAAACTGCTTCAGTATTAGTGGACACTGCAGACAGGGAGGGTATGGCAAGTGTTAGTGCAGAAAAGTAACAAGACTTTTTGAGTACATATTAAAGAGTAGAACAGGCAGCAAAGACATTATGCACTATTAGAACTTGCTGGAATTATCAGTTTATTAAAATCACATGAAATCCAAAGGAAGATTACATTTTTACCCATTTGTGTGAATTTCTGTGGAACCACTACTGAACTTTCTTTAGGAAAACAAAGAGGAGAATAAGCTACTTCAGTTTGGATTCATCTGAGATGCTCTGGTTTGTAGAACTAAGCCTAAACAATCCGTTTGATATTAACCTCCTTATGTGTGGTCCAGCATTTCAGAGATAATGTATCTAGACACACACAAAAAGGCCCTGGTGCATCACAAGAGACTGAAATATAAGTATAAACATAACAGGTAATGTAGTCTCTTCAAAGGACCCAGTCCATGAAGAAAGAATGATGGTATGAATCATTAGAATTTCTTGTCCCAGGAGGCACTGTGCTACTGCCAGCAGATGCATTACAGTGCCACATTAATAGCATTCTTTTTCCATGTATTCCAAGCAAAATTTCTTTCAGAACTTTTCGTCTGAAATTTGGGACAAAACCATATGTTAAAATATTCAGATTTCCTGTGAAATGGAAATTCTGACATTTTTTTCTCCTCTGCAGAGATTACCAGTAAGGAGGAAAAGAATAAGCACCAGTTACTGGTTGAGTAAGTTTCACCTATCAAACAACTGGCACTGAGGTCAAAGCGTACACATTTCCACGCAGATAGGACCATGACATGGCTATATTATGTCACAACAAATTACATAAGAGAAATATATCATTTTCCAAACGACTGCTACAGAGTGGATGGCAAGAACCTTCTTCACATGGAATACTATCCTTTTAGAAAGCTTTCAGATTAATAGAAACACTCATACTTCAGCATCCTGCACATAGAGGATCGGAGAAAAAGCAAATGTAAACATGAACTTTGGAAAAAGATTAACTTCTCATACCCTATCACATAAACCTACTCACACAGATTTACACACCCTCAGTAACTTTGATTTGTGCTACACCACAAGAATTCACATAAACCCCTATTTTTTTCAGGCAGCTTGCCACAGGATCCTTTCAAGTATCTCTGAGATGCTTTGAAATTATTATTGTTACATCCACTAGATGCACTTTTCAGTAATTTGGGTACCTGTTGGATTACACTGAAGATGCAGAAAGCTAACTTGACCGATGGTTTCTCTAGCCTGGGTCATAGGGCACAAATCAGGTTTTAATCAATGCTTTTTCACCTTTCTGGGAAACATGGAGTTCCTTCTTTCTCCTGCTTTACTCTACCAGGTTCATGGTGGGTCTGTGCCACGATGACCTTACAACAAGCTCAGGAGAACCACATAAAAATGCTCCTTAAAATACAGAACTGGTTTGTATGAAGTCCACAGATATCCTTTACACGAGTGTTGAGTACAATGGCTCTGCATCCCTCTTGCAATGGTTCAGATCTCAAATAGCGTTTAAAGACTTGCTTTCTTTTCAGCTTAGAGAGGGTGCCAATCTTCATACTCATACAGACACACGTCTAAGCTCTTTCTTGAGTGCCTTACTGTAATAATCGATTGTTTTTTTGCCTATTTGTTTGTTCCCTCAAATGGTCATTTTCCAAGTTCAAGGTAGCAAGTTGAGGGGTTTCTATGGAAATTTTACTCCAGCACTCCAGAAAACAACACATTTTGCTGTGGTTAACTACTATATATACTTGATATATATAGCACACTCAATTTCAGGTGCTACATTCAAGGACATCTGCTGAGAGTAAAGCACTTATCTCTCCTTCACCTTATTACCCAGTGGAAAGAACGTCTTGCTATTGCAAATGGTAAATATCTAAAAGAAGGCAGAATTGGATTACTCGTTGTTTACAGGTTTTCTAGTGATATAAAACGCTGTGGTCCAAGGTCTCCAGAAGCCCATACATGTTTAAACCCCAGGGTGTGGGTTTGCAGTGCTTAAAACATACTTGACTCAGAATCCACACACTTGTGAAATTTCATTCCAATTGTTTGGTTGGTTGGTTGTTTTTTCCAGCATGAATTAGTGCTGGGTTTTCAAAATGGCATTGGTAGAAAATCTGCATTGACTGATAATAACTTCTGCCTTCAGATTCCTACGCTGAAAACCTGCAAAGATTTTAAGTTACGTAGCTGTGATCTCCCATCAAACACCACACGTATTTGTGGTGAACAGCTTTCTGCT